AAAATCTTCTTTGAGAGGCATGTTAGAAGTTGTATAGATGAAGGGAAACCAAGTTCTATGGATAGTAAACTTCTTTATTGCAATGAATGCGACGTTTCGGTGTAGGTACTAACACCGTTATCAAGTATAATGTGTGCAACGTTTCGGTGTAGGTACTAACACCGTTATCAAGCAAGTGTATAATGAGTGCGACGTTTCGGTGTAGGTACTAACACCGTTATCAAGCAAGTGTAATGAGTGCGACGTTTCGGTGTAGCTACTAACACCGTTATCAAGCAAGTGTAATGAGTGCGACATTTCGGTGTAGGTACTAACACCGTTATCAAACAAGTATAATGAGTGCGACGTTTCGGTGTAGGTACTAACACCGTTATCAAGCAAGTATAATGAGTGCGACGTTTTGCTGTAGCTACTGACACCGTTATCAAGCAAGTATAATGAGTGCAACGTTTCGGTGTAGGTACTAACACCGTTATCAAGCAAGTGTAATGAGTGCGACGTTTCGGTGTAGGTACTGACACCGTTATCAAGCAAGTAAAATGAGTGCGACGTTTCGGTGTAGGTACTAACACCGTTATCAAGCAAGTATAATGAGTGCGACGTTTCGGTGTAGGTACTAACACCGTTATCAAGCAAGTATAATGAGTGCGACGTTTCGGTGTAGGTACTAACACCGTTATTAAGTATAATGAGTGCAACGTTTCGGTGTAGGTACTGACACCGTTATCAAGCAAGTATAATGAGTGCGACGTTTCGGTGTAGGTACTAACACCGTTATCAAGCAAGTATAATGAGTGCGACGTTTCGGTGTAGGTACTGAACACCGTTATCAAGCAAGTATAATGAGTGCGACGTTTCGGTGTAGGTACTAACACCGTTATCAAGCAAGTATAATGAGTGCGACGTTTCGGTGTAGGTACTAACACCGTTATCAAGCAAGTATAATGTGTGCAACGTTTCGGTGTAGGTACTAACACCGTTATCAAGCAAAAGTAATAATGTACGTTTCGGTGTAGGTACTAACACCGTAATGAGTGCAACGTTTCGGTGTAGGTACCAACACCGTTATCAAGCAAGTATAATGACACCGTGTAGGTACTTAACACCGTTATCAAACAAGTATAATGAGTGCGACGTTTCGGTGTAGGCACCGACACCGTTATCGCAAGCATAATAATGAGTGACGTTTTGCAGGTACTGACACCGTTATCAAGCAAGTATAATGAGTGCGACGTTTCGGTGTAGGTACTGACACCGTTATCAAGCAAGTATAATGAGTGCGACGTTTCGGTGTAGGTACTAACACCGTTATCAAGCAAGTATAATGAGTGCGACGTTTCGGTGTAGGTACTGACACCGTTATCAAGCAAGTATAATGAGTGCAACGTTTCGGTGTAGGTACTAACACCGTTATCAAGCAAGTATAATGAGTGCGACGTTTCGGTGTAGGTACTGACACCGTTATCAAGCAAGTATAATGAGTGCGACGTTTCGGTGTAGGTACTAACACCGTTATCAAGCAAGTATAATGAGTGCGACGTTTCGGTGTAGGTACTAACACCGTTATCAAGCAAGTATAATGAGTGCGACGTTTCGGTGTAGGTACTAACACCGTTATCAAGCAAGTATAATGAGTGCGACGTTTCGGTGTAGGTACTAACACCGTTATCAAGCAAGTATAATGAGTGCGACGTTTCGTTGTAGGTACTAACACCGTTATCAAGCAAGTATAATGAGTGCGACGTTTCGGTGTAGGTACTAACACCGTTATCAAGCAAGTGATACCTACACCGAAACGTCGCACTCATTGCAATAAAGAAGATGACGTTCCATAGAACTTGACTTTCATCTCGAAAATCGCTCAGATCGATAAAAGTGAAGCTAAAATCAGAGTGTAATCATTAAATGCTTGAAATTTGACTTACAGCATGGCCGCTGCAGATGCCAGTTTGATGTCAGTTTATCTTGCAGTTTTAAGGCTGTATACCATGTGTGAACGACCATGATGAAACTGTGGGGATGTAAAAACAGGAGTGTCGACGAAAGGTACATGAAAATGGTACACACGCACAACATGACGAAAGGTACATGAAAATGGAACATATGTCTTCTTGCGTCAAAGCATAAACTCAGGGACTGGTAATATAACAGGAAGGAATAATTAGATGGAAGACTGCGTTATATTTTGCTGCCAATTTTATGTAATATTTTGTAAATTTTCTATAACTTTAGGCTTCCCCAACTCTTTAGCTGGGTTGCAACTCAATGCCCACAACAACAACCCCGAGCAAGACTAACACCCCACCCCACCCCACCCCACCCCCACCCCCGATCTCACCTCATCTATAATGACAAGGCCAAATCGAAATTGTAAAAATGAACATTGGGGACATGTTTCATGACCCAAACGTTGAATTACAAGACGTCCTCCATTACTATATATTGATTGAGTCACAGGGCAAGAATATGCGAAATGTGTAGATGATGAATGATGTAAATAATGTGTTGTCTAGACATTGTGTATTAGCCGATAGAGCCATGCAATTGGTTGGTTGGTTGTTTAACCCTGCGCTCAGCAATATTTCAGCTATATCGTATAGTATTCCAACACTTAATCTTATAGTGCTGCAACATTATTCTAGTTAACTCGGGGCGGTGGGGTAGTCTAGTGGTTAAAGCGTTGGCTCGTCACGCGGAAGACCCGGGTTCGAATTCCCACATGGGTACATTGTGTGAAGCCCATTTCTGGTGTCCCCCGCCGTGATGGTGCTGGAATATTGCTAAAAGCGGCGCAAAACCAAACTCACTCAGTCAGTCTAGTTAACTCCGGGAATTATTTTGAGTTTCTGTTGATACATCGCAAAACTACCCGTTTACTTTTATTGATGGTGGGAATGCGTGTTTTCATCATTTGGTCACTATAATTGTTTGTTTTAGGATTATATTGCATCTTACAATCCCAACAGTTTGTAGCTTGATAACGGCCAACGTACACGGACTCGTTGCTACAATTGTAATACACTGTTCACCACCTTTATTGTCATTTTTATGGTGATCATCGATTTTAAAATCTTTTATTTGTGTCCGTGTGTTTGCTCATGAGGATTATTCACCGTTCAAATGGTTCATACATGTGTCATTCTTTTTAATGTATAATGTTTACATAATAATATGTTATCAACCAGAAACGTGGCGGAAGTTCAGTTTTAAAACTGCCCCAAAAGCGAGAAAAAAATACAGAAAAGAAAAAGTCAAAATCTCTACATACACACGCAAACAATTAAGAAAAATGACATGATACGCATAACAATATTTCGAAATACTGAGAAATATAACTAGAAATTATCCTGATTTGTGAAAATGACAAAAGGTAAACGTGTTTAGGATAACAAGGATGTGAGGACATTTTGCACTTCCTTGTTCTTCCACATAAATATCAGGAGGGGACTGGTCACTGCATCACTTAAGGCTGTCCTCTCAAATCAAGCTGGCGTCGTGATAGCAATGATTTACAGTTAAAAGTCGTGTAACACTATCATCATCATCATCATCATCATCATCATTAAAAGAGCACCTAGGGTAATACATCTTTTTATATTTAATTTAGTTTTCCTTTTCAGAATAAAACACGTTATATATCCAACTTAACGCATCATAGACCGTATCAAACAGGCTAACATTATCAGTACCATATTACATAGTATTTACATTGTAAGAGCATACACATAACCAGCGGATCTGTCTGATACAGCCACGGGGAACCAACCCTCCCGAGAAATGAAAGTACACATACATTGACAGCGAGCACAGTGTCACGAGGATTGCACAAAGGCTTATTACAACATTTTTGTCGTCAGTTTCAATTCCAAAATCAACATAGAAATCCTTAATTGCCTGTTGTATTGTTGAAGGAAGCGTTAAGCCAGTAGTTAACAACAGTGAGGCTCTAGAACGGGTGTGCTGTTCATGAATATAATCACCGGGCCTCTTGGTGCAGTTTTGTAGAGTTCAATGCTTGGAAATAATCAAATGCATGTTGATTTCGTGTCTTTCTACAAAACTTGCATTCCGTTCTTTTTTAGTTTAACCCCGCGCTCGGCAAATATCTCAGCAATATTTTTTTTTAATAATCGAGTCTGGACCAACATTCTAGTAACTTACGTTATAAGAATGGATCTACAGAATTGGTATGCGATGTCCAGCAATCAAAATCCAGAACATGCTCACCCCGATTCACCCATGACGTATTTCCCACCCAGATCCCCTCGGTTCTCGTTTTCAACGGCATTTTTGATGGGTTATTCATCGTAAATTTAAAAAACCTATATGTGGCAACATGTTGCTCTTTGTTATTAAGAGTAATATGTCTAATCCTATTATGTGGCCGAACACATGTCGCGGAAGGTATCCGATAACTGCTAGTTGCATATATTTTGAAACAGTGTCTCCATGCACATGTCTAGCCATATCTATACTAATATGTTTGTATAATACTGGTGATTAGCTACAGCTATGACGCTTGCCGCTTGATAGAAATTATGTTATCATGTTTTATTCATCCCTTAATTCAATCCATTTTCACTTACTATATGATTCATTAGTTTCCATGTCTCTGTAATACATGTGAGTCTATACAATATGCGTGCATGCTGATGTTAACATTTCACATGAATGTATGCAATGTCATGTATAGGACATATATCTGTAGAATGAGCAGATTGATTGTATGGATATATATACAGGTGTTCCCATACTAGGAAACATAATCCCAAGTTGTCATCTCTTGTCATGTGATTAAATCATCCAATACCTCCTCCCCACTCCTCGACATCCTCTCTTAAATAGCCTCGTTCTGTTACAGTAATTACACGTGTACAATTCCACTGGACGCTCTGTTCGTTAGCAGGCGCTTGTCTCAATTTTCCTACTCGCCTTGTTAGACCCCCCTGTAGCGAGCCTCTAATAATCGATCGCTTTGTGTTACAGCATGCGCAGATGCGACGGAAGTGACATCTAGTGCGCATCGACTGGTGTCGAGAGTGCAGCAGACGATTCTCGATTTCCCCCTGTGCCATCTGCTGTATAGCATACACTATGGCGACTTGTTCACGCCACGGGAAACAAGGCCAGTCGGTCTCACAACGCGATTTAACAGTTTAGCAGAGGATACCGGTGGAAAAACAAAGAAAATGGCCTGAAAGCTGGAGAAAAGTGTCCATACTGGAATTAAGACGCAGACGACAATGTGAACTACAGTTCGATATCGATTGATTCGGCAATTGTAGCGTTGTTTAGGAGAGAGAGAATGAAAAAGGGAGATATACACGCTTCACAGTGGATATCCTTTGTGCTTCCTTCCAAGTGAGACCACCTTGCAATGCGAATCTCTACCCCGAGGTCGGAATAACTACCCAAGGGATTGGAATATGGGTGAATATAGTGTCGTATACTATAATTGATCTGTGTTGAGTACGTCAGCTAGCGGTCACTACTATCGCCGCTACACGAGGTGGGCAATGTGATACTGTAACAATCAGTTGTGTGTAGATGGAAGGGTATACAACTCTAAGTTTTACCTTGACAGTGTAGCTGCTACATGAAATGAAAGGGACGGTGCGTCTGTGGAATACCATCCACTCTGACATTGCAGCCTCCCGTAGGTTTACTAACGGCTGTGGGAGTAATATAAGCCGGAGCTATCGTCCTCGTGGCTCACCACACAGGTCATGGCGCTTCCTATCTTGCCAAGGTTGTATCCACGGCTGTTGACGACATTTAATGCATCCTTGTCAGATACTGAAGTCTAAAGTCATCTCACAACCACGACAGTATCAAGGCAATTTAAACATTTCTATAATGTAGATAGTTTTATGTTTATGGATTATAGGTCCCAACGCTCAACATCATACGACCAATATCCCATAGTATTCAATATTAATAATACAGGATTTGAAGTCATAATAAAGGCGAAACCTAAGAAGTCAGTGAATATATTGACATTGAGCCTATTGACTGTTTTCTAACAGTTTGATTTCACATAACGTCGTTTGTCAGAAAGGGTAGTCGTGCGAACACTTAGAATTGGAACAATTGGATATGAATAAAGGTAGGATAGAACATTGATCGGAATAAGAACGATATTACAAGAAGTCCAATTAAATAGAACTGTGGATATAAAAGTGTTGAGCTTACACAAACGCATACACAAAGCTGGGTAGTGATCTAACGTGTATATAACTGAAGTATGGTAACGACAGAAAGTCGCCACAAGCCACCTTGTTAATGATTCCAATAAGTAAGATAGATAAATATATACTGTTGTTTATGATGGAATAATTGATAATGAACAGACACCACAAGCCGCATGTCAATTCACAAATGCGGGTTTTGTTCTGACTGTAGGGTTTATAAAGACGTCGTTGATAGTGTTGCAATTCAGCTGTCAAGATTTCGCGGTTTAGCGAAGCCCCGGACCCCCCTCGACATCAGCAGCAGGAAGAACGCAGCTATGTGGGTACGATGAAGAAGCAGAATGTCAGAACGTTGTCCCTTATCGTGTGTACCTTCACCTACCTGTTGGTCGGAGCAGCAGTCTTTGATGCCCTGGAATCGGAGTTCGAGGGGGAGAAAAGGCGTTTACTAGAAGCCGACGAGGAAACAATGAAAGATCGCTACAACATCACAGAAGAAGATTTTGAGAAATTGAGATTCACAATCATCAAGAACGTTCCCTACAAGGCAGGCACTCAGTGGAAGTTTGCTGGGGCGTTTTACTTCGCTCTGACGGTCATCACTACAATAGGTAAGAACCATTTACTTTATTCTTATCTATGTCTATGGAACACTTGCTCTATTGAAACGCGTCCTGTATGAATATTAGAAAATTCATATGTTTTCTTATGAGATTTGAATGTCAATTGTTTTGCAGGGGTATATTTTTTAATTGTTTTAATACAATATGTATATAGAGTAAAAATCCAGCCCCGCAAGTTGCGACCATAACTCGTTCCCTCCCCAGGACATGCCGAGATATGAATAACTGGGTACGGTATGAACGAGCAGGAGAAAGGATATGGTCGAAGACGATTTCATCATCATCATCATCATCATCATCATCATCTCTTGCTTGTAGCGGGCTCTCACTGATTATTGAATCTAAGATTATCTTTAAACCAAGGATACAAATAGTGCATTGTCTCCCATTGAAATGTCAGTCGCTCATACATACATCGGAGAAACCTCACTTTCACAAAACCGTCGTTGTCCTATTATCCAACGGTTTTGAAAAACACACGCCAGTTTACAGGAATACCTCGTGTTCACAATGCATTAACCCTTATGTTAAGTACTCCTTTTCCAGGGTCATGTTATTGGAGATGGTCATGGTGACATTTTGGTCACAGTGACACTGGTGTTCACTTCAGCTGTGATCACATTACGTCAGGTCTTCATGTTTTTCCAATATCTTTCTTGAAATACTTCCCACATAGCACATTTGATAAGACAATTTTATCTTTATGTTGTTCCACAAATATAACACACAAAACGCCAAATATCTACCAGTGGGTGTTCTGATTACGATCATGCCTGTCTGGCGTTAGCTTTAAACGAGTTAATCTTCTTGTGCAGTTCTCATTCCGAAACTGGTCAATAGCCAAGTGGACTTGTTTAACTTCTAGACCTGCTTTGAACTCCACCTGTCTCCACCATATTTAGATTCTAGGATAATGTATCATATTTTCATACATTCTTTATTATAGCGCATCCTAATGTACGAGAGAGGGTCACGCATGGGGATTTGTCTATTGCTTTTTCAAACAATAAAACACGCATATACTAATGTATGAATGGAGTGTGATACGGGCGTTAATCATCAAATGGTGAGTGAGGGAGTGAGTGAGTGAGTGAGTGAGTTATAAGAGGTTATTCCCACATCTGACGAAACGGGGAATTCAGAACCAACGTAAGGAATCGAAACCGTGTCTACAGCGTGAGACCCGTCCACTCAAGCACCTCCGGGCTGCCTCAACGTCTTTGTAAATTCACATGAAACATAATCGCAGCCCTCTGGTGTACACTCTAGAGCCATCACAATAATTGAATTCATCATGTACATTCAATTTCGGATACAAAGAAATCGGATATAGCGGAAATCGGGCTACAACAACGCTAATTCTCCCGTCCGTGGGTGAAGTTGAGGCTGTTAACGTAAGCAGCGAAGACGTGAATTCAAGGCCTCGTAGGACTAAGTCATATCCAGAGGAATATTGAATGATATTTACAATTCATAGAGGAAAACCATTACATGAACCGTAACATCCTTGAATTGGTCGAGGATGTTTCAGTGCTGCTTCCCGCCCTTTCATGGTGTGACAGGGGATGGATGTTGCCAAGGGGAAAATATGGCCTTGATGTGAGATACGAGAGCATCCACCTTCTTTCCCCTTCCAGGCAACTGATCGTGTTCCATCCTGCATTGTTCTATTTCAAGATAATTAATATTTAAGTCGAATGTAGATTCTACGTACATGTATTACTGAAACCCCACTGAGTGAAAGATTTCGTCAACATAATCAGACTTGTAAACTGCAGCTCGGTCATATCAAAACTAACAGTTTGTTTAAAGTAAAATCCGATTAAACTGTTTGTTAGCCATCAGGTGTTTCATGACAGATGGGGCGCGGTGATAGTGTTGCTGTAATCGAATAGTTTCAGAGCGTATAAATTGGAAATCGTTGACGTAAATTGAAATGTTTATTTTCACTCCAAGCATTGTGTAACACTCAAATCGATTATGCCTTTTTTGAACGCATGAAAGCTTAATGACTCTTGTCAGATAAATATATATAAAATTAAATCCATTAATTTATGGGCAATCTGGGCCGTGTCATCTTCAAGTGATGCCCTGATCGAGCAGTGTGAATATGTTAGTTATCAATATCTCAATCATATTGAAATATTGAAAAGTTAAATGAAATGAATATTCAATTCAGGCAAGTCCTTTGCATTAACGTTGGCACGATGCTGATGTAACATTCAAACTGAATTAATTGCAGCATTCATTCCTTATATATCATGCTACGCGTGCAGGTAGCGCCTTTGATCTCACGTAGTGACAGAATATATGCGCTGTAATAAGTCTCATGAAAAGGGACGCTTCATGGAAGTTTCATGGGGCCGGATATATAACATGCAACCTGATGCAGGCTGTTGTTATGTCATAGCAGCAGCGTCGTGGACAAGTCAGTGTAACATCCAATCGCTCTGTAAATCATGACAGAATATACGGCCTACTAATGTTATGAACACCTATTTTGTGCTGAACGAGTTCATACATTATGCAGTTTTATCTGACGGCTAACGTCCGTGTAAAACCACCACACTGTTAAGGGTACCGGTTATTGGTTTTTATTTCCTGTGTTAATCTATTGTGATGAAGTCATGGATGAAATTGATACTGTTTGGGAGTTATTTTAGCATCGCAGCACTCATTTAATCATTTCAAATGTTGTGTCTGTCCAAATCAACTCACTTAGAAAATCATTTTGTTTTGTTTTTTCCGTCATATGTTAAAATTGAAGTGCAATCGTTATTATTTCTAAATAGTTGTACCACCTTCAACAAACTGCGAGAAACATATGCCAGTAATACGACATGTTAAAAGAGTTATCCGTGTCACAGACACTTCTCCAAAACTGACATATGACGGATATTTTATTTGGTCTTTGATATAATACTTTTACGATAGGTATGTGTACATGCTTAATTTCTGGTTCTAGCTGGAATAGAATAAAATATCATGTTATGTAATCATTAAAAAAACACAATTTGATACGTGATTCAAGTCCTGCAGTACTTTGTGTGCAGCCATGTGTATGCAGTTGGCATGCCGATGTTGAGTGATAGAACGATGAAACTACCTCCCAGCAGGCTCGTTTTCGCCTCAAGAGATTGCTGTTCGAAAACCGTTACAAGTGTATGGATTTAGAATCTTGCCTCTCTCGAAGAAAACAACTAGCTAACGTTTAAGGAATATGTTCAATTCAGATATTATTTCTGGTGGCAAGGTAGGAGGTTTCTTTGATGTAGAGACTGTTGCTGTTTTGAGATTAGTGGTGATCTTTGATGGCAGTCTATTTCCTGTATATTAACACACTATTAACTGATGGTGGCGATATACTTCATAGGCTCTTATGTTACTGTTCATTATGGGATATATCGAGACTGGCTGTCGGACGTACCAACCCGTACAGATACACAGCTGTTCATGAACACATATACACATGTACAGTCATGTACTAACATGCAACATGACTAAGCTAAACGTTTTCAAATTTTTTGTTTATGAATTCAATTGAATATTTGACTTGAGTTTGTTTGTTTTTATGATTAGCACGACAGGTTGGATTGGATACAGTCATCATTTTGTAAATACCTGATATAATAGATATATGATGTCATATATTTCATAGTGAGTCATGTATGATGTATTCCGCATGTTGTACTCGTTGACTGTTACCGCTTATAACTTTAGCATTCCGTTTGTTCTACTCCAAAGCCACCCATACGTCTGCCATCGCTACACCTACTACTTACTACAACTTCTTCTACTACTACTACTACTACTACTACTACTACTACTACTACTACTACGTGGTCACCGTTATCGCCATCACTGTCATACACACTGCATATTGATTATTTTCCTTATCATACTCGAGACAATTATCGTTGTTGTATTAATAGCATCAGTTCCAAATTTAGTATTCGTATTATTCTGAGTAGGAACAGCAATGAAGGTAATAAAAACACGGTATAAGGTCGCAGCTGTCATGCACGTGGAGTGAATATTAATAATTTCCTTTACAATAGGAACTAATCTAGCATAGATTGCAACACTGCATGCATTTTGCGATTTAGATGAATCACTTTCATCGGGTTATTCTGGAACTGAGTAGTCAGTGATTTTTTGGTTTATAAAAATAATTATGCACGATATACAAATGTCGGTAAACAGAACTGCCGATACGTCAGGCAGTCCTTGTTCCCGATGCCGGGAGCTATCTATTGAGAGTGAACGCTTAATTGTACTTGATTTCATCTTCCCCGTACGTCTCTGGGCAAGCTGGTACGGCCACACTTGTCGTAATTGGGTGTCTTCGATTAGACGCAACAGTATTCTGATTTCGTTGATATACAAATTAGCAGCAATGTAAAGTTGTATTATTTGGGTACGTGGTGTCGAGTAATACTGAAATAGCAACGAGACATGTTTTGTTTTTAAAGCCGTTATACAAGGACAGTTCTCGTTGAGATAGTTAGTAATCATACCCGAAAGATCAGTCACACATTGCAGTGAGTGAGTATTGTTTTACTCCGCTTTTACCTGTATTTCAGCAATGGAGGACAACAGAAAGTGTCCACCAGTTTTACCCCTTTGATGAGTTATTGAGTTTGGTTTTACGCCGCTTTTAGCAATATTCCAGCAATATCACGGCAGGGGACACCAGAAATGAGCTTCACACAATGTACCCATGTGGGGATTCGAACCCGGGTCTTCGGCGTGACGAGCGAACGCTTTAACCACTAGGCTACCCCACCGCCCCACCCCTTTGATGAATCGGACCACAATTTTGTCACCGGGGTCTCCTCTCCACAGAAAGTTATAGCTGGTTGTTGTCTTGTTTAACACCGCACTCAGCAATATTCCAGCTATATGCCGGCGGTCTGTAAATAATGGAGTCTGGACCAGACAATCCAGTGATCAACATCATGAGCATCGATCCACGCAATTGGGATACG